TGATACTGTTGTGTACATCAACACTTTATCTTAGCCGACACACTGCATCACAACACGACGGCATGTTAGAAATGATCTCAGACAGAAACCAAACATTTAAAGACTTCAGACAGCACATACAAATGGTAATATTCACCTAGAATTAAAAGGCTGTATGCGACATATTTAAATTAAAAGATTTGATGACCGTGTATTTTTCATTCAAATTCTCTTATACTTTAAAAAGTATTTAGCATATATAGAGTTCCTCTTTCGCTGCATTTTATTCATGCAGATGTTACGTAAACCACTTAATGTTATTACCACTACAGAGTTCAAGCAGACATTCAGAGTTTCATCTCTGTCATTATCATAAAAACTCCAAGAAACAATTTCATCGCTGATGGCCAAAGCATGTGATTATAGAGTATAATTGAGTTATTTTTACACACAGCCTGCCGTCTCTGATAATTGTTTGTGCATGAGCATGTTTGTGTTTCATGTTAACTGTACGCTGCGGTCTTTCCCCAGGTCTCCTCATCTTCGTCCACTCTCAGCTTGCTCTTTGGGAAGCGCAGTTTCTCCAGCGGCCTGGTTATCTCCGGGCTGTCGGCTGCTGAGGGGGGCAACACCACTGATACGCAATCCTCATCCAGCGTCAACATCGCTATGGGGCCCTCGCACAGGTCCAGCAGCAGAGCCACGCAGGTAGGGAACAAATCAGTAAGTATACATGCAAACTCTCTTTCTACCTTCTTAATACAGAATGTGGTCCTCTATTTTTTTTAACATTTATATAACAAAGAGTAAAAGACTCTAAAATTAAGAATCTTTTCTCAGGAGTGTCCTGGCCAGATAGGCAGCAGCACAAACAACACAGCTGCAGACATAAACAAAGATATAACAATTAAAATGAAAACAAGAACAAATTACAGAATTATAAGATACTAAAAAACATTAAAAAACATTCAAAGCATCTACACCAGATGTGCCTGCTTCTACGTAATTTAGAAATACTTCAAATGTGTCCAGAGAGACCAGCTCCTGAGACTTAGGTAAGTTTGCAACTTGACTCCAAGCCAAGAGAGCTGCTTAATTTACCGCCCCTCTCCCAACTCAGTATGGACTTTAGTGACAGTATTAGGAATGAGTTCTGTGAGTAAAGACAGTAACTTCCCGTACTTTTTTGTTTGCAGGATGTAGATCCACAGGTAGGAAAAAAGTAGCTCAAGAACAACCTTATATAAGGCAGATCACCCAACCCGAGCATACAGAGAAATGCTGAGTAACGTTTTTTAGTGCTTCATGGTAGACAGTATCCACCTTGTGTAGGCACTGTGAGGATACGTGCATGTATATAACGTACTGTAGTCCAGCACAAACATAAAAGTGGCACAAACAAAGTTTCCTTTCAGCCTTGAAGGAAAAGCAAAACCCAATTTTAACTTCAGTTTTTGCTTTACAGCTAGAGAAAAATCACTCCAAACCTCATTTTTAGGGCTAAAAGCTTGACATTTACTTTAAAGTAATACAATAAAGGAATAGTTTGACATTTTAGAGGGTCAGATAAGAAGTTTGGCACTGCCCTCATAAGTGATCCCTGTCAAGAAATAGTCAACACATAACCCTTGCAAAACCACAGCTGGTAAGTTTGACGTTTTTGTGGCTTGAACAGACAAGATAACATGTTAATTAGTAACACTTTGTGCATCTCCTGGCTGTAGCTTCATGTTCATGTGGTATTGATGGTCCTGATTGACTCTTGGCGAGAAAGCAAACAGGCTATGTTTGTCAGCGTAGCCTATTTGCTAAAGGCTAAAATGTCAGCATTGTACTGTAGATCGTAACCACACTAGCAGATGGGATAAAGCCTGTGGACAACATTTACATTTCTGTAACAACTGGTGCACCAGGTGAGAGTGGACTCAAACACATGACTTTGGAGATAGTTCAAGTAAAATAACAGTCTTTACTGGTCAAAAGGTAGGTTTGGTACTCAAAAGGACTATCTGTGGAGGCAAACAAATCCAACAGGGAGGAGGCAGAGTCAATCAACAGGCTAGATCCAAAAAAAAAAGAACAAGAAAAGGACACAGGACACACAAGGAGCTAAGACGAACTGGCACTGAGAGAGAACAAGACACACACTAAATACTCTGGTGAGGGGAAGGATAACAAGACACAGGTGAGGTTAATCAGGGCGGGACAGACAATCAGACACAGGTGAAGTCATCAGAAGGGAGGGAAAACACAGGGACAGGAAGTGAAGTGATCTGAAACGAGAGGAGCTGTGAGATAAAAATAAAAATCCCACTCACTGCTGTTTTAATTTGACTTGGGATGCAAAATGGTGCAGTACAGGCTATAAACAAACATTATATCTCTAGTTCCATTGCCTCCTCTCTTTCTTCTCTCTCAGTGGACATCAGAGCCATATGAGAGCATAGACGCATCCTACTCCAACGCAGCCATCACAGTGAAAGACGGCGTGCAGTCAGGCGACCGAGGCTGCAGCCAGGGATTGGATGAGACCCAGGAGGATTCGGCATCTGTCTCAACAGCTCCAGAGACGGCGGATCAAAAGAGCGTCTGAGAGAGAGAACACACACACACACACACACACACATATGATGAGAGTGCCCAAACTCGTGCCCATATACAGAGAGGACTGTATGAAACGTTACACATATACACAAACATATGGAGGATTGTATGAGAGAGCACCCATGCACACAAACCTGCCTCCTCTCCCGTCCTCAGCATGTGGTCTCACCTTGTTGTCTGAATGTAAACAAGTCTGAAAAATGATCTCGGATCCGGTTGATGAAATAAAGACGTTTTTAAATGAGGGTGCCTTTTCTTTCTACCTCATGGCATCTATTGTTTAAATGTGTTGTGTTTAAATATGTTTATATGGTTATACTGTATTACTTTATACTTTATTTGTATAAAGCAAAAACCTTCCAATGCAGTTCCTTGCCACGCTGGTGAGACAATCCCAATGACGTGAGCTCATCTGTTTCACCCTCTGTATCAGTCTGGCTCCGCTGTTGCCCTGAACACTTCCAGAGCCAGACTGCTACAGAGAGCCACGTCATCAGGATGATTTTACCAGACTAGTTCCTGGCAGTGTGTAACAAACAATGCTGTATATGTTTCTCTCTTCCACGAACTTTCCAGGATGATCCTTAGATTGTTTGAGGCCAGCATGTGATCCGGCGAAAGAAAACACATGCAGACTTCTTGACAGTAAATACATAGTATGAGTAGTTTTACACAGTGGCTGACTGAAACTGAATATATATATATCATAACATATCAAACCAACTCCTAGTGTAGAGTTAGGCCCAGGATTTAACTTTACATTTCTGGTTAAATGATGGATCTTTTTTAACTTAAGAATTTGGTTGGTTGGAATCGAACCTGCAGCAGCTGCAGCAAGGACAAAGGCTTTATACTTTAGGTGTCCCCTCTGCTATGTGAGCTAGTGGGCACCCTGGCAGTATTTGTAATTTGTTTAAAATTGACTACTTTTATGCCAATAAAGTAAGAAATTAGCCTAAAATAAAGGTTCCTTCCCAAACAATCATAATGTGGAGGAAGATGTGAGAAACCATTTAGACCTTCATATTGGGAAATAAAATGTACAAAAAGAATAATTGAACGAGTAGTCTCTATATACACACACTATATTCAGTGAATGTAGAGTCTGTAGGCAAACCCCAGAGATCTTGCCTCTGGAAGAAGAGAGGAAGAGCCCTGGTTTCCAGTGCTAGGCTGTTTGTAGTCCGCGTGATATTGACCAATCACATTTGAGCCGGCTGCAGTTGTTAACAGGTTAAACGCCCCGTGCGGTGAACTAACGAGGCGGAACATAATTGACGTCACTGCAAACTCTGAATCCATCGCAATGGTTCAGCATATTTACTTATATATAAACGGAAGTCGGAAATGGAAATTCGCCTCCTCCGCCCAAATCAAACCGGAATGCCAAAAAATTGGGGGTCTGCCCCCAGAGGCTGTATCGGAGTCTACCGGAAGTCAGACGCTGAATACAGCCGATGGGTTCCGAGAATGCTGAACAAGTAACTGAATAAATAAAATATGAAAAATCCAAATACTTTAAAAAAATTGCACCTATTCAGTATTTGACCAAATGTCTACTTGCTTTTGTTTCTGGGTCATGGCGTTGAAGTATGGCTAGAAAAGTGTTTGTGCAGAACATTATGATGTCACCGTGAAGTTGACCTTTGACCTTTTGGATATAAAATGTCATCAATTAATTTTGTCCTATCAGACATTTCTGTGAATTCTGTTATGATTAGCATATTACCGGTAATTCTTGAGGTATGGCCAAAAACATCTTTCATGATGACATAGCGACCTTTAACCTTCAACCACCTAAATCATATCAGTTCATCGTTGAGTCCAAGTGGATGTTTGTACCTAATTTGAAGAAATTCCCTCAAGGTGTTGCTGAGATATCACGTTCACAAGAATGGGACAATTGGTGGACTTACAGCCTTATATTTCTCAATTCTGTATGTCTGCCAATCAGTCAAGTAGATATTGAAATAGAGATTCACAGGATAAGTGAAAACTTTGAAAAGTCATCCTCTGGGGACCATGAACGTCTGTACAAAATTACCTGACAACTCATCTGATAATTGTTGAGATATTTTAGTCTGGATTAAAGTGGTGGGCCGACCGAATGACTTGAGCTGCACCGCTTCTCACAGCATAAAATTATTTTTGGTTAAAGAAATGTGGAAACCTTTTTATTTGTAACGTTACCAGATCCTTCTCCTCACTCACAAAGTCCTCCATAACCAGGCCCCCTCCTACCTCCTTGACCTGCTCCACCGCCAGACCTTCCATGCCAACCTCCCGACTCCACCACTCAGGACCAAGCACGGGACCTGGGGCGACAGAGCTTTCCCCATAGCTGCACCCCCCAACCTCTGCAGGTTATATTTGCTGGTTATCTCCCACACCTCCCGTCAAAGAAAGACACAGTCACATTTGGCAAAAATCTATTAAGTATTTATTGTAAGTTGTTACATTTAGATTTCTTTCTCTAGCAGCACTATTTAAATTACAGATATTCAAGGGCAGTTACCATAGATTGGAGTTTTCTCATAATGCAAGATGTCATCGTGTAAACAAAGACAGAGACTGAACCGTAGATCAAAATGTACCACAAACTGAACACGCCGTTAATGTGACGGTAACTCATGTGAAGTTATTAACTGATGAACAACATTTCTGTGTCTTTTGAGATAAAAGAAAAAAGAAACAATGGTTGAAATAAATTAAAACAATACAAAAAGTAAGAATAGTGAACAGGTTTTGTTGTGTGACACAGTTACAATTTCAGTTGGATCTGATATAGTTGCTCGTAATCCACATCAGTCACGCGTCAAAAAGTTCAGTGCCTGTTAAAGTCTTCAGGTCTGTTGGTTACATGTCAATGATGAAGTACATGTCGATGACTCGGAGAGATGACACAAAGACCCGTGACAGCAACGTGAAAAGACAAAATACAAATAAAATGTGTTTCGTACTAAGAACCGTTTTGAGTCCAACAGAACATGTGATGTTTTATTCAGACAGTTCATTTGACCCCTTCACATTAAAACGAAAGGTAGGTAATTATTTTGGCACATTTTATCCACCAAAGACACGTTGTTGTACTTCCTGGGTCAGCTGCATTGGCCAGTGTGTCAGGCGAAAGAGGCGAAGTCGCCCCCCTTCTGGTGGACCACCATCGGACCTTGTTTAAAAAAAAAAATTAATATGCACAGTAGTTAATGCTGAGAGACAAACACTTTTTTGATGCAGCTTGAATCGTGCAATGAATCACACATATAATGTTTGGAAATTTAAAAGATAGTTTTGCACTTCAAGAAAGTCACAGTTTGTCGTAAAACTAGCGCCTAGTGTTAGGTTTCTATTTCTGGCGATGGCATTTGAAAATGGAGTTCATTTGTGAAGATTATCTTACTGAGCAAAATGTGTGAGTATCATAAACATTTGTTTGCTAATAAGCTCATATTCATCGATAATCCAAAATCAAATGGAAAAATTACACTGGCTTTTTGACAAGGGAACCAGTGTGATGCTAACTTTCGTGCAGCCTACAGAAAAATGTCATCCCTGGTGGACTCTATTACGACCCATTCCATTTATTTTAAGGCAGCGTCCTCTAGTGGCCATAGTAATAAATAATGGACTGAGCAAAAAAAGACTTTATAATGTTATACAAATATTGAAGAAGCCCCTATAGGATGGGTGGCAGTGGCGGTGGGATGGGTCAAACAAACACTGGACTTTCACCCAGGAGACCAGTGTCTGCATCTTGAAGTCAAAGCTGACTTGTTGTAACAACAATGTAGCCTAGTACACTATAATGTGTAGTATGGTATGCTAGTGACTTATGTCATGTGTCAGATGTGATGTGTGTCACGTGGCAAACGTCACGATACATTAGTGACAAAAGTACTTGCCAAACCATGATGTTTTCCTAAACCTAGCCATGTAGTTTTGTTGCCTAAGCTAACCAGGTAGTTCTGGAGCCGAACTGGGACTGTATCATGATGATAAGGACTTCAACTGTTAGAACGGTGTTATATACGTCTTTATATGGTGATATAAAGGAGATGATGACGAGCTAAAAATAGATCTTGATAATAAAAACTAAGACGAAATCTATGTTTCATTTTCGTTGACGAGACGAGACGTGACAAAAACGTTCGTGGTGGACTATCAGACATTGATAAAGATGAAGTTCACTTAGTAGTTTAATGTTAATACAGCAAACCTACGACAAACTCTGATTTTCTTGACTATCCAAATGATCTTTTAAATTGACAAACATCATATGTGTAATTCATGGCACAAGCCAAACATGATCAAAATCTGTTTTCTCCTTTATCATTGACTACGGTACATATTTTTTCTACAATAAGTTCCTATGGGCGGCACTGAAAGGGGAGGAACTTGCTTTTCATTCTTTTTTATATAAATATATTTTTTTATGTAACTCAACTACTTCTTTGAAGGAATAGTTTAACATTTGGAAAACACACAACTTGGCCTTCCCAAGAGTTGGATGAGAAGATATGAAGCTGGAGCCAGCAGCTGGTTAGCTTAGCTTAGCAAAATTATTTCTTGGGTCGTCATGGAATACTCCGACACATTCAACCCATGACACCTTGTTTTTGTATGAACTAGCGATAAAGCTAAAATGAGTGAGTTTCAGAGGTGGACAAAGCCACATTAGCAGTTTCACCTTGCTTGTCTTAAATTAAGGTGACCAGCTGCTGCCTGTAGCGTTATAGTTAGCGCACAAATACAGGAGTGTTGTTGATCTTCTTGTCTAACTCTTGGCAAGAAAGCAAATGCGCGTATTTCCCAAAAAAGTTGAACTATTTCTCCAACAGCACCCATTTTAAGTTTCACACAGCTACTTGTACTTGGGTGTACATATTTCTTTAATCTTCTGTCCTTGGTGAAAACTAGTCACATCTGTATTGTACTATCATGCAGAGAATTGCCAGTAACAATGTAATTAAATATTTCTTACAATGTACAAATTCCCTACTGCTGAGCGCTGTTAACTTTGTACCAGCTCTGTCTTGACGCACAGATTCACATCCCTGTGAGAGGAAACGAGCCCCTCCTGTGATAATCTACAACAGAGGATGTGTTTCGTCAAGGTTGGACTAATACGATAGAAAACTCTTTTCAATGCTACATCTCAGGGTGCTTTTGACAGCGACTGCCGATCAAGGATTGACGATCAGTTGATGATCAAATGTCAGATCCTTGGGCAGCACGACCCTGAAGGTTAGGGACACAGTGCTCTGAGATGTTCGAGGAAGTTGCACAATCTGTTGAACTCATGAGCTTCCTGGCTGCTGTTCGAAGCTCCACTGTCATTTTCTCATGTCGACATTTTAAATCTGACACCTTGAGGTCGCTTTTTTGTTTGTGTGGCAACATAATAAATAATAAATTTCACTCTACACTGACTTGTTGACTGTTAGCGAGCAGGAGGATCAGATTGAACCTGCGCTGATGTAAATAAAACAGTCAGGATCTCAGTCATCATCAAAAGTTTTCAAGCAACCAGTGAAAAACAGTGAAAAGTTGAGCTCGACTGACAAAAGTCTTGATTTAAAAGCCCGCTGCATTCACACTGTCCTGGTGGAATTTCTCTGCAAGTCATGCATGTGGAAATAACCAACCATAGTCTATATTTGTTAATACAAAGAGGGTCATTTAGTCATTCTGGCAATTCATGAGACAAGAACCCATAACTGTCGATATTAGTGAAACATACTAGAAGAAAAATATGAACCTCTCAAAAGAGTTTCTGATATTTTTAATTGTCTGCATACTGCAGTACTTGAATACATACTCATACAGTATCGTTTATAGCAAATAACTGAATTATTTCATTTATTTAGCAAAAAGCATGCTGAATAGAAAAAGAGTCACTTTTTTCTGAATCGCCCAAAGTGACGGTAAAATTCTTTTTATTTTTCACCAGCGGATCATCTCTCCACGTCTGTGATCTATCTACAAAGGCATGACAAAAACCAAGAGGCTTAGGCATCTAAATCAATAAAGAGAAAAGTGATTGCCTAAAACTGTTGAACTTCAACCAGGTACCTGCACAAATATAATCTCTTTCCTAATAGTAGCACAAACACCTCTGGAAGAGGTACAAAAGAGACAATATGAAGGTGTCAGTAGGAGGAACAAACATCAGTATAATTTCTTTTTTTTGCTGTAAAATGGGACCGTCTCTGTTTTAACTGCTATTAACAGTGTCGTACATGTGATGGTACAGAGAGAGGAAGTGAGACAGACAGAGAAAGAGACAGAAAGAGATCTTGAGGTCTGTTGTGAAGCATAAAGAGGCACCAAATCCAACTGAGGGAACACACAAAGCAGGTTGAGTTTCAAACCAACATCAGTCGATACATCTGTCTTTAGCCACGATGCACTGTGAGGAATTGTGGAGGAAAATCTATAAAACATCAACCCTCCTATTCTCATTTCCATCTCGCTTCAGGAGCAATATTTTCTGTACAAATAAAGAGTTAAAAAATAAATCATTAGACCTAAATCAACCCTCAACTCGAACCTAACAGCGGCTCACAGGAGCTGAGTAAATGGTCTCGTACCGTAGAGTAACACATCATTGACTTTTCTTACATCTTGCATTAGTGGAGTATTAATAAAAACAGAAAACCCACTTCTGCTGATGTGTCCCACATCAACGCTACTGTATTAGCACAGTGATAGTCTGACCAGATGTGGCTACAAAAAGAATGAAGAATAGAAAAATAAGTTGTTGTTGTTTGCTGACGACACAGTGCTGCACACGTTTAATCACAAAGTCACACTAACAGCTGTGCAGTGTCCACTGACAAACAACAAAAAGATCATCATGACCAAAACTACTTCATGGCAAGTTAAATATTTTATTTTTTAATTGGTTACTGGTTATAAAATGTGAGTCATGTTTGGACAGTGCACATGCTCCTCCGCCCTTCAAAGTAAGACTATGTAGTTTAATATACTAATTAAGGTTTTGCAGCCTCACTAGACTGTATCAAAGAAGTGGACTTCATTACGACACTAAACATTTTCCCTAATAAGTTTATCGCTAGTGTCAAGTCTTCTTCAATACAGCATGATGTACCTTTTGTAAATTACATGGCAATGGCCAAAATGCCAAATTCATGGCTTCAAATTAAGCCCCTAGGACCAGTGCTGGGCTATGAACCCAATTAGACATAGTGGCCAAACCGTGGAATTACAACTTGCAGGACGAGGACCGTAACGTGATGCCATGGGGCTTAAAAATACTTTTTCTGACAGACTTGCACTGTGAAAGAGACGTCTGTGAATCAGCTGATAAAATTTCTTTGAGTGTCACACACGCTGCAAGATGACTCATCTCAATATTGGGACTTTATTTAGAAAACTTCTGTTTGAAATGTTTACGACAACAACAGAACATAGCTAGAGTTTCTCCTGCCTAATCACTCCCCGTGGATACGAGGAATTTGGGGACATGAGATTTGGGGGGCTACGGCCTGGAGGTGGATGCTGAAAGAGCAAGCAGCAGTACTGATGCAGGGCAGCAGCATTGACAAGGCAGAGGAAGAGCTGGGAAATTTCTGCAACTTAAATAGGCTGCCAGTTTGGGAGGGTGTTCTCACAGGGTTTGCTCCATTTAATTCATTCGGTCAGATAACACTTCAGAAGTTAGCAGATGGCTGAACTGTTGGTGAGCTGTTTGGCTGGCAAAAATCTCTAGTGTGCTTGCTCAATGGGCCCCACAATGCAGAAGTCGAGGGGTGAGTATTGTCTAAAAAATTATGGTATCGGCACCAATACCAGTACACTTAAAGCAATATGTAATACTATAATACTAATTGAGTAGTTAATTTGATACCCCTAACGTGACTCGAATGGCATGTAGAATACCTTAAAACTTTAATTAATAGCCCGGGGTTTGTATATATGGGACAGACATCTTTATAAAACAGGCCTTTAATTCCTTTCACACAAAACTCTTGCTTGGAAAAGATCACCACTTTTTTCTTCTCTCTTATTTATGATGCCGGTAATTCTGAACGAATCATATTTTGGTGCTCGTGTTTTCTTGAAATAAACTGGACGATTAAAATGTGGAGAATCTAACCAAGCTAATGATTTGTATCTGTATGTGCGATCTACGCAGCTCACTAACATTAGCTCAGGCATGTAGCCAACAACTCGGAGGGCTTTAAGAGGCTTTACATTTTAAGATCTTCTATAAAAATGAACTGATTTGTGGAGTCAGAGCTTGGTCTTTCGTTAGGCTCGGCTTTTAACTGAAGTTTTACAGCAGCCATAATTTCAGTTTTGGTGGCATTTTGGCACGCTAAACTCCTAGACCCGTCAAATACACAATGCTTTGGGATTTTGTGATAACCACACATTATTATAGCAATACTCAACTGGGCCTGTACAAAAAGTTATGAATGAATTTGCATACCTATTTCTTAATAAAGAGGCAAACTCCAAGTACAAAATTTTATTTAATTTCAAAAATCTTCACAGGAAACCTATTAGTCAATGTTAGCGCATGGGACGCATCATTATCTTACATTACTTCCTGTTTAAATGGTTGTGTTATTGGTGCTTTAATGTTAATAGGTTTAAAATGAATTCTTGAATCATTTCGTTAATAAATATTTCATGAGCAACAGTTGGTTGTCAATAGTTATTTGATATTAGCAAATAAAAACCAACATTTATGTAGTAATAAGACTGATAACACACGTTATAGGTGCTATTGTGCACAGATATTAATACAGGTGTGCCTTGAGAGGGCACAGAAAGTTTGAAAACCCTTGTCTTAAAGGTAGCAAGTACCGATACCCAGCCGCCATGGTTGCTATGTCCACTTCTTTGACACAGTCTTTAGGCGTGACCACTAGCTTGTGGCTGCAATGATGGCTAATGCTAGCAAACGTTACACAGGTCTCGCACTGTAAACTACATTACTGAGTCAGTTTGCTGACTTACACATTGTTTGATCATTTGTCCTTCTCATTTAACTGTCACCTGTGGCAACTATAACATTTGTTTATCAAAATTTACATAGTCTTACTTTAGAAATGACCAACTGTAAAAAAAGACAAGGACAAGTCCTTTTTTTTTTTTTTTACCTCACAGGATGGGGCTCGATAATCATATTTGTCACAGAACATCATGATGTGGTTACTCCTTCAATAAATAAAGTGTTTCCCCCTCAGTTAGGAAATACTGCACAGGGTCAGCTACCAGTGTTGTAGCCTGAGTAATGAGCGTCTCTCCCGTCAGTCAACTTCTCAGTCAGTCGCTGATCCGTCAGTTCCAGTCGTCTATATAATCTCACCAAGACTCCAGCACACAGCCACATAATGTCAGACAACAACACATTTATTTGTTTTCAGCAAGGTTTCTTTTTTATCATCACGAAGGCATATACTATTTTCTCTGTATATTACTTGTTATATATATATCTATATATATCTATAGATATATATGTATAATATTTATATAGAAACAAAAATAAGCGTACATTTTTGCTGAATAAGATTGAAGAATATCAGCAAAGGGCAATGTAAACCATGGTCCATCTAAAACCGGTGAAAGGTGCGGTAGGTCGCCCTTTCCCAACTCACCCACAGTAACAGATTTGCATAGGCAAAAATGGGATTAGCCCTTAGACAGTGGATTCCTGAATTCTTTATAGAGATGCAAAATCTAGTTCAGCTCAACACAATTAAAAACAAACATACATACAAACAAAAAAATAATAATAATGTTGACTAGGCCAAGCTCTCTTTAACCCCTCTGGTCATATACATAGTCATTTTTCTGTGCACATTTTTTTTTACAGTGTTAGGCTTCAAGTAGATCTAAAAACAACTTGTACATTGACAACTAGATGTGAAATAAATTAACCAACATGAGAGGTAGTGAAAAGCCTACGGAGACGTTTGTTGTTGTTTCTTTTTTTTTTTTTTTTATACAAAGGAAAAAAAAATCATAAAACGTGTCAGTAAGGCCAAAGCTTCGCAAACCTCCTCCGCCCCCATCAGGACACTTCAGCTCTAAAACTGTTTTCGGTCAACAAACCACAGCCACGTTTCAAAAAGAAAACACCCCCTTGCTTGGAACCCATGGAGATTTAAAGACAAAAATCTAAACTCAGCGATGACACTACATCACTTCACATCATCATCATTGCTTGTAAAATCTACATTTGAAATGCAGTTATTAAAAAATAAACAACCGTGTACTCTTCTCCCGCTGTGTAAAAGTCACAATAAATTAAGAGGAAAGGACGTGAGCAGACAACGCGAGCTTCTGCTGCGTCCGTCCTCCCTGTAAAACACCGTTACCTGGGTTTTCTGCTGTGTCTGTCCTCCCCCTGTAAACCCTGTAAAGTGCTAAAAGGAGTTAGCACTGGGGCAGAGACCTGCTGGCTCGTCTGCTCACACCGGGGACAGTTATCTCCCCAAGGTTACGAGTATCTAATAAGGTACACACATCGCACAATTTATAAATGTAAACTTGGTTTTTAATTGCACCATGATTTCATCTGGTTCTTGGTGAAACATTCTCGTGTTAATTACTGTGTAGACTCAGCGACAAGGAGCTGTACTGTGCAGGAGAGGTCTGCAGGAGAGCGTCAGGAGCGACAAGCGTTCGTCTACCGAGTCAAAAAAGTTACAAAGTTGTCCAAATACAACATCTAAAATGGTTCCTGGAAAGTGCTCCGAGGAGAAAGTGTGACAATTGATCCTCCAGTATCAGGATTGGTTAACTGCTCTGTATTCGTCTGATTGACTGAGCGCATGCATGCACAGCTCTTCATTACAGCAGCTAAGCAACATCAATCAGGTCCCTATGGGTGTTAATGTGGTCTGCGTGTGAGTACTGTATTGCCAAAGGTTAAATATACTATATTTATTAAGGAACATTGCAGTGATTATTGGATTAGACTTGCCTTCTTTGACTTTACTGATTTAAAACCAATACTTCACGACAGAAAGCTTTTGTAGTAGCACGATAGCTTGGTTTTAAGCTGGCGGCTTAAGGAAACTCAAAATCCCATCATTCAATGGACTCTTTTTTCCATTTAGGCTCAAGCAGAAGGCCTGTATTTCTTTTTTAAAAACAATAAATTGAATTATCTGTTTCCTTATTTAAGTCCTCTTGCAAACTAGAAGCAGCCAGTTCTTAAATAATCCAACAGTACCATTAAAACATTTTGAGTATCGTCGTCATGGTAAGTAATTTACAAGCTAAACTTCGGACAATTCAAAACCAATCTAACATGGTGGGACATAGACTCCAATCTAGTCACTAACTACATCCAATTGCACTTCAATAGTCTGCTAATACATCCTGCGCCGTCTACTCTTAAATTTAATCTAGTCCAAACTTGGCACGTGAACTTCAGGTAGTTTAAAGGAGGTGGCAACACGGATGCCTACATTTACCAGTGAGGAGTGGCACTGTTTCATTGACACTTCACGACCAACCGAGAGGTCAGCCCTCCGTCGTGTGACACAAAGAATATACTCGGAGGTCCGGTTCATTAAACAAAATAGCATATACTGCACTCATGCACTTTCTACTGCACATCCACAGGCCGGGAACAAATGTTCACATCATCAAAAAAATAACAAAAAAAGAATATGTCCTTTTTGCTAAAAATGTTAATGGGACATTTTGGCAAGACCCCCTTAAAAGTTTTTTTTTTTTTTTTTTTTTTACTAAATGTTTCTGTTAAGTGTGTAACTGTACCATACACACACACACATAGCCATTATCATCGCATGCTGTCAAAGTCAGATTAGAAAAACAAACCAGAGTGTGTGAGGGCTGGCAGCGGGATGGAGGGTTAGCACGGCGAGCACAAGCATGCTCACTGCTTGCCTACAGCATGCTGAAACCTAGTTAGCCTCGTCGAGACAGCTAGCGTGTGGCTAGCTCGGTACGGTAGCATGTTAGCATCGTTAAACCAACCCTCTTCACTCGCTCTGGTGCGAAAATGAGTGTCTTGAATGGGCAGTAGCTAACTGAAAGACTACCATACACTCTCCCAGCTCCGTCTGCCAGAGAAACAGACATGCACCAGAAAGACTCTACAGGCGGTCACGTCTGGCATCTCTTCACAGCATCTTTGACATCATGTTTGGCACCCGGGTTATGTATCTGCAGCTGGACGTCCAACTCCAGGGACGGTTACCTACAGCATCTAAAGCTAGAGCCTTACAGACAAAGGCCAGGGCTCAATAACCCTTCAGTAACATCAGTGCCTGCTCCATGCAGAACCAGCTTTCCATAATGCTCAAATTCAGAATAAAAACACTAAAAGGTAAACCCTCTTTTTTCTGCGCCACTATTTCAAAATGTAGATGACTATTTGGAGTCAATGTGTTTTTGTTTTTTTTTCTCCAGTGGTGGTTTCTTACCCCACACTGGGCACCTGTGCTTGTCAGGCTGTGATGGTCTGAGTTGAAGGGAGGAGGAGGAGGAGGAAGAGGAGGAGGAGGGGGAAAAAAGATGGGAGGTAGGGAATCGTTGGACAAACTGTGGTTGCTTTCCAGAAAAAAACTCCAGCAGCGCTTGTGCTGCCTTTTCCTTACATGTAAAGGCATTGTGATTTTCTCAGTGGAGAGATTTTTTGACTAAAGTTCATGAGTAATAATAATACATGTAGCTGCCCAACCACAATTCTAGCCCTTACTTCTCCCAGTTAAAGAATCCTAAAGAAGGAAAGTGCTTGGACGGACAGACGGACGGACGGAAGGATGGAAAGGTGGATAGATGGATGGATGGGTAGGTGCTGTTGCCTTTGCTGCAGAGGCCGTCAAATCTCCTCAATAAAAAAACTGCAGTAAGCTTAAAATTGGCAGAAGTGTACTTTTTCCCTTCACTGAATATAGACATCCAGACAGAGACACACAGGTCCCCCGTGTTAATACATCTCAATATTCAAAAACGGTTGCAGTCCGCGGCTTACATCGTCAAGCTACTGTAGAGAGAGAGAGGGTTACATGCAGAGCCAGTGCTTCTACTGGTTAAACGGGCAGAGACGCCCCAACTCCCACCAACAACTAGGTGTCATGTTTGGACAGTAAAGAAATAAAACATTTTTACACATCTGAAGAATGGGACAGAATTAGAAAAACAAAAAACATATGAAAGAATGAGTAAAGAGAGAGATATTAAAGTATGAGGTCTAAATATTACAGTACAGGAACAGTTGGCTTGTCCTTTTTCTCTCTCTCTCTGTCTGTCCCCACCGCCTGAGGAGTCCTTGTCCACAGTTAACCAGCAGCTGGCCATCAGGTTGGCCATTTCTACCGACAGCCGACAAGCAGGTTGGCCAGTCAACCGTAACAAACAGCACAAATTTTGCTAGCAAAACAATCACTGGCCAGCATTAATGGTCTTAAACCGACCAATAACCAACCAGCAAAGGCCGACCTGGCTCCAGTGGAGAACTGGATATAAATTGCTTAAAAAATATAAATAAAAAACAACCAGCTATCTCGGATGTCATTCAGTCTTTTTTCAATCAAAAAAGAGGGAGAGATTTTTCCAAACCCGACTTCTGGCACCATAGTAGTATTTGAAGTTTAAGTAGTAGTCTCGTTGGCGTACGATGGCGATGAGGGAGGGTGGAGGGGTCTAGGTGTCGAGGCAGGTGCGCCTCCTGTTGGCCAGGAGGTCTCTGTAAACGGAGGAGTTGAGGAAACGGGGGTAGGAGTCGCGGTGCATCAGGGTGTAGATCTGAAACTGGGCCTCCTCGTACATCAGATTGCTGGGCTCCGCCAGGCTCAGGTTAATTCCTTCTCTGACCCGTGAGTCCAGACTCACCTGGGGGGAGGAAAACAAGTCTGATTTAGAAACCATCGTGGTTATTTAAGTAATGCGTGGAGCGCCAGTGACTTTATTAAGACATAACACAGACTCAAGAGTTAAACTTAAACAGTTAAACTTGATTAATCTGACAACAACCTAGCAGATCACTACTTGGGTTTGTAGTTCCTGATCAGACAGATCATTTTCTGCAGCTTAAATTTGTTGCTAGCTAGCCACCAAATCACCTGTCCTTAGCTTACCGCTATTCTGCTGTGAAGTATACCAGGGATGGGCGATATGGCCCAAAAAAAAAAAATCACGATATTTCAGGGTATTCTTGCGATAACAAAATTCTTGATGATATTACAAATTAGTAAAAAAGAAATGTATTATTAATTTAAGAAACTAGAACTGCAACAAAATAAGTGATATAGTTTTACAGTTGCCTTCAAATATTCAGTAAAAAATAAACAAAAATGATCTCTCATTTCTTTAGTTTGTGAACAACATCAGTAACTCAGAGTGAGATTCAGATTCTGTATACAATATTAATAGTTCAACAAAATGAAATCTACCACAAATTACACATTTAAACAGCTCCCAAATACAAAAATGTCCACTGGGATCTATATATATAAATCAACAGGTGATTTCCTTCTTTTAGTAAAATCCTAAATGATTAAGTTATTTTTTTCCACCTGGACCTTTATGCTCTGCCATTTCTCCTCTAATCATCACACTGTAACCTGTGACAGGCTGTTATGATACCACAACTATCGCCCAGGCCAACCATATACATACATGTTTACATGTATGTTTATGTAGGTTTACATTACCAAAAGTAATCAAATGACTTGGCTGCCAGAGGAGCCGCTGAATGAGTTCCCTCTGAGCGGTAAGTCACTAAAAGAGTCTGAGAAGTCCGGGGCTGTTCATAAAACATTCAGGACGCCACAGTTTATTCCACACTACTGAAGCTGCTCCTCTTTTTGGAAACACCGTTGAGTCTGTAATAATTTTGCTTTCAGCCACGCTTGTTGTTGCCGTGGGTAACAGTATGACGTCAAATGTCAACAAGTTGAAATATCACAAGTATCACAACATGAATTTTTCATATGATATTGAAAAAATTAAACCGTATTATCGTGAACGAGATGATATGGCACATCCCTTTAGTAAACTCACTGATCTGTACCTTAAAATCTCTATGCCACCACAAAAGGCCTACTGCTCAATTCATCTGACTGGACATTGGGAAAAAATGCCAGTGACGTTGTGCGCTTTCAGCTCTAAGTTGAAGGGTTTTTTTATCTTGTGGCGTTTAGGGCACTCCTAAACAAATACAAGGCACACTGAACAGAAAAATGCGTGGTGCTCAGCCACACAAAAACAGCAAGCAAACGCTTCACTCACATTTCAAACAACTTAAAAAAGCCGTCCAGGCTGTTACAAAGTATTTTGTCCGATCAGGGCCTAAAGAGTCTACAGCCATGCTAGCAGCACAGTAGTTTCACCATCTTAGTATAGTGTGTTTGCATACTAACATTTCTGGATTAGCACCAAACATAAAGCACAGGTTAATGTTTGCAGTTTGCAGGTCATTCTGTTCTAGAAGAAAAACAGGTTAAGTTTGAACTTTGATTTCACAAGCAATCTCACAGCAAATAAGAATTTTCTTTGCTCTGTTCTGTGGTGGCTCATTTCTGCCAAATGAACACAAATACAAGCGTACCTCTTTGGGTGATAATATGGACACATAGTCTTCGTATATGATCCTGGACTTCTCCTCCACCACCGACGGATTCGTCTCCTTCTTCAGCTCTTCACAGGCCAACCAGAAAAGCAGGTTGTCCTCGCTGTACTCCGAGCGCAGGAACTCCCGGAAGATCTCCCGGCCTTCCAGCGAGCGCAGCATCAACTCAAAGCTCCGTGCCCACGACAGCGCTTCCTCTAGACTGGGGTGTCTACAGTTAGACATGAAACAAAGGCAATGAAGAAGTGTGTGTGTGTGTGTGTGTGTGTGTGTGTGTGTGTGTGTGTGAGAGAGACTGACACAATAGTGATTACACAAACGTGACAGGCTGGAGGGATGACAGCTAGACTTACTGTTCTTCTGTAGCTTCAATACTGTCCATCTTGGTGCAGGTCTGTCGCTCACTCCGCTCCATCCTGTCTTCATTCCTGGATTGGAGACAAGAAATGATTATGCCTAACTTTCTGGCATGTTTCTGCCTGTTTAAATTGATGAGTTTGAGTTATCATTAGGATACAAAGTGATTATTTATCTTAGCATTTTTCCACTTTTGGTACAATAGAAGAAAAAACTCTTCACTATAAACAATATCATTTCTCCTCTCACTACAGACGTCTAGATCCAATCAACATCAGCATCAGGACTGATCGATTTCGTCTGTTGTTCCACACCGGCTGTCAAAATACCCCAAATGCACTCTGTTAAAACCCTGGAATCACTTTATAATGCACAGCATTGTTAGCAGGTGAACCACAGGGTCGAACGAGCAAATAAATAGCATCCAGGAGTTTCAATTAATTATATCTACACCGACAGCATGCATCAGTGACTGTCAGCCAGCGGAGCCACTTTGGGTTAATAAACACTTTAAATATTCCAGGGTTCCAGCATTTTATGCCGCCTGAACCTTTCAACCACTGAGCTAAATTTGCACTGTGCGATGCAGAGTGTAGAAGGGTGCTGGTTTCTATCCCAGCTGACACTGGGCAAGAGGCAGGGTACACCCTGGACAGGTAGCCAGACTATCACAGGGCTGACACATAGAGACAGACAACCATTCACACTCACATTCACACCAACAGACAATTTAGAGTCACCAATTAACCTGCATGTCTTTGGACTGTGGGAGGAAGCTGGAGCACCCAGAGGAAACCTACACTGACACGGGGAGAACATGCAGGCTCCACTCAGAAGTGCTCCCCCACCCTAAGGACTCAGCCTCAGGCAACAATGCTAACCACTTCACACACTGGGGGCGTAATGAATAAAGGACATGAAAATGCAAAATACTTGCCTTCAAATATTTACACTAGCAGTGATGCAAGGTTGCAACAGTTGCCCAGTAAAAGGTTTTGATGCAAATAGATTTGCCAGCAGCAATGCAAATTTGCGAGGACTACCTGGATCCTATTCCCCCAGAGCAGCATCTGGCAGTCTGTACTGCAAGTTGCTGTACAGCCTAAACTACTGGAAGATACTTTATTGAGTTTCCTTTTAGAGAAATGCTCTGAGTGGATTTGAGTTACCTCTGGTGAACAGTTACACAGTGTGTATTGTAAAAGGCGAGAGAGGAATGAGTGGATCTGGTGTGTGCGGCCTTTGTCAAGGTTGAACTCAGACAATGGAGAATCTGTGTTGTTATTTTGGAGGTATGCACGATATTGGATTTTTTTGCCGGTATCCAATATGCCGATATACAACAACTCATTTTACCGATAACTGATACCGATATCGATATATCCACTATTTTCCCTGCCTAATTTTAGTGATCATGAAGTCTCTTCTGTAGTGGAATTAACATCATATTATGCATGCATACTCTCATCATTGATTCTAATAGTTCATTATAAAACCAATATCAGCCAATACCAATGACTTGCCGATATTATCAGTGTGCATAAGCTCAGAAAATCGACCTTTTCCGACAAAAACATTACATTTCTCACCACATAGTATTCACGTTCTGTGTGAAAGTACTCATGACAAACACAACAATTCGATAAAAATGTACTGACGTGTGAATTAATCACACAAAACAAAACAATCTCAGTGTGTAAAGGCTTTAAAACTGAGTTTAAAGTGAGGATTTATCTGCCTGCAGCTTCAATTTTGACCACTGTCTTTAAAATCACTCGCAAGTCACACAACTTCGCAGAAGTGCGATACTAAAGTGTTTGAGTACCCTTTGACATTGTTCACCACAGCCTGTCACGGAGGTCTCAAGTCAGAAATACGTAATAAGGAATAAAGGTTTTGATCCACAGTCCCATGTGCTAGAATCTCTTTATTCTAGTGCTGAAACCACTTGTTGATTAATCGCTTATTTGACAGGGTGAAAATTAGTCAGAAACCACATTAATAATCAATTGTTCAAGTCATTTTTCCATCAAATGCACAAAAATCTAGTCACAGCTTCTCACTTCTGAGCATTTATTGACTTTATCTGTCACATGTCACAGTAATCAGGACTGTTAGAATTTGCAAGCGTCGCCTCGGGGTTTAGGAAATTGTGACAGTCACTTCTTAAAGGGCCAGTGTGTAAAATGGGTTGAAAACAGTGACATCAGTGGTCAAATTCTAGATTGCAGGGCTCACTCGTTCACCCCTCCCGTCGGGTAAATGACGGTGGCCTCGTAGAGACAAAAAGCCTTGCGCACAAGTTTTTCAGGAGTAGGTCTATCTAGCGACGAGGTGAATGTTTATTTAGAAATCTAAACCATGTTACAATATTGTAATGAATCCCTCACGAGCAGGAGACCAGAGGAGCGTTCGGGAAAAAGGCCCGTTTATTTGAGCACTCCAGAAACTCCGGTAACACTCCAGGGGGTAAAAGACTCCATCCCAAACTCTGACTCTTCTAGCGTAACACACACACTCCATACACACATACTCATTTACCATGCCGAGTGGGCACCCCCCTCCCTCTCTGCTCCACCAATCTCCAGCCCGTACACTGACTGACAGCGTAGCCGGTAAACAGAGCTCAGCTGTTTATTTAGCCTAGCGATATCTCCGCGTTCTCTGGCTGGCTGGATTGTCCGCTCGGGCTGCCGTACATACATGGCGGCGCAAGATGGCGACCTCTCTAAAGCAAGGCCCTTGCTATATATATATATAAAAGCATAAATATAAGGCTACAAAAACCAAACAAATTTTATTTGATAGCGATTATACACTTGTATAAACATATTAATGGGTAGAATATTCAGATTCAGATTCAGATTGACAATAAACCATGCCAAATATTACACACTGGCCCTTTAAAATTCCTGACATTTTTTAACCCAAACATTTAACTGATAGAGCCAGACTGATGGACAGATAAACCAAAAATGAAAGTAGCTGCAGGTGCAGCGCCTCTCAGTTGATCTCTTTCAGCGATCAATCGCACAGCGAAGCGTCAGCAGGCGATTCAGACGACGCATGTTCAAAGTCCGTATAACAATAAAGCTACAGTTAAACCTTTATGTAAACACTTGAAACACACACATGGTAGCCTCTCTGTCTGTCGTAGCTCAGTCACACTCGCTGAGTCCACAATGCAACACACACTGAGCCATCTATTTTTGTCCCACCATGGAGGATCTTTCCTTCCTCTTGCTGTCTCTTGTCAAAGTCCCCATTGTGCGGCAGTAATGGGCGCAGCTAGCCACAGCCCCCAGGCACCCTCACAATACAGCTAAATATACAGGCTGTTCTTCACAGCTGTTTTGCATGTGATGTGTGGATGGAAATAGAAGGCACCCCAACTAGATAAGGGCCTTGTGTGCGGATGGGTGAGGAGGGTGTAGAAAGTAGAGAAAGGAGAGAGAAAGAAGGAATAAAAAAACTAAAGGCAGATGAGAGTGACTCACACAGATCTCTACCACTTGACCTGGCATGATAGTAAAAAAAATTGTGACACAGAGAGCGTTCAGTGATAAATATATTCACACAAACCTGCACTGGAAAAGGCAAAGTCTCCCTGCCAGCCTTAACGCTAAAATAAATAAACATATAGGCAGCTGAGGACAAATTTCCAGGCTCATTCTGGAGATCTGACAGCACTATTTGATTGAGAAACACAGAGCGGAGTCACAGAGCACTCACTACGGGCCCAGTCCACAAGCTGCCACCACTTCAGATGAAGTGGTGTGAAAGAAGCAGCACATTCACCATTCACTGCCTGAAAACAATGTTTCATTCACTCCTCTCTCCCTGCAAGAGTGCAGCCACAGTGAAGCAGCGGTAGGAGCTGCACAGCAGTTACTGGTTCTGGTGCCTTGCTCAGGGGCGATGAGGTGCAATGAGTGTTTGCACAAGTCTGTATTCTTTTCTCTCTGGTGAAGGAGGAATTAAAGGATCAGTGTGTAGGATTTCGGAGGACATATTGGCAGAAATGGAGTATGTTTTCTTGAGTGTAATAATCACCTGAAAATAAAAATGATCGTGTTTTCATCACCATAGAATAAGCTGTTTGTATCTACATAGGGAGCAGGTCCTCGTCTATAGAGATCACCATGTTCACTGCCACTGTTTTTGCATTTTTGCGTCAGCCACCATAGCTAGAAGCCCATCTGTGATGAGCAGCGTCAAAAAAAAAAAACAAAAACCCACACTGATTGGTAATGTGAAGTTGCTTTATTCAGTGTTTTTACCAGTTGAAATCACCGGGTTTGTTCGTTTTGGAGAGGAATAGACCTCTGTGGATAATTCAGCTCCCAGTATTCCCCGGAACTTCCTGAATTGCAAAGTTGCAAAGAAGTTGCAAAGATAGCGACCCATATCTGACATGCAAAGCAGCGCAGGAGAGACACTAATTTGCAAAGTGAAACTGCTTTATTCAGTGTTTTTACCAGTTTTAATTACCTGGTCTGTTTGTTTTGGAGGGAAAAAGACCTCTGCGGATAATTTGGCTCCTGGTAAAAAAAAAAAAAAAACCTGAACAATGAACATTGAGGGAATCCTAATCAGGAAAAGTTTCATCAAAACATGTGCCCCATGCACAACGTGCAGCTCAAAATCCACAAAACCAGCTAAAATCCAGTCTATGAACCCTTTTGGGAATTGGCCAATGCTACGCTATGATTGGCCAGTCTGCTTTTAGGGGGCAGGACTTGGCAAAAGATCAGTTGTTCAACTCGGAAAACTGTTAAAATGCAAGTTTGTCTGTAGAAAGCTTTACTGGCTCCCATACTTCCCTGCTCATCAGCGCTGTGTCAATATAATGTCTGTTTCTGGGGAACACAACATCAGCATAATATCACAGATTAACAGAATAAAAACTATCAGATTCTTCAGACACAGAATTTATATTATTGTGTAGGTTAATATGTTCTTACCAGAGACACTTGCAGCAGCCACACCAGCAGAGGCAGCAGGTGTTGGGTCGGGGCTGTCCAGGGGCCTGGGGTGGGGCCTCGATGTGCGCCGCCTGCCTTTTTCTCATCTCCACTCCACTCACACTCCGGGGCTTCACAACGTATAAACACACAGAATAAAAACACTGTTAAACACCCTTCAAATGAATAACGTTATAACAGAGAGTGTGTTTTCAAATTTGGTATCCATGTTTTACTTCTGGCTCACTGGCAATATGTCTTATTAAAGGGGGGGGGATAAAAGATACTGTGTGTGAGTGTGTGAAGAGAGATGAAGCCAGCAACTGAGAGAGAGCACTCATGCAGGACAGAGAGGATTCCCTTCCTTGTACGGTATGAGGGTTCCTGGCACTAAGCCAAGTCTTTCACTTGGCTTTGACAGACACTACACATACATTTCAACGGGCGCAGACACAGACGAGCAGGCTCTACACATCGCGCACCCAGACGGACACATGCCAATAAATAAACACAAATTCATGCACACACTTATACACTTATATCAACCTGTCGCTTTAAGGATTTAAGCCTGGGCACACCACACTAACTAAATAATGAGGTGCTTCTTTTATACAGTATGTACTGCTGTTCGTCTGATGCATCACTCCAATGCAGACACACAGTATCGATCGTGGTTTCTGCTGATGCTTTGATGTTTCTGTTACTGTAATGTACTGTATAATGTATGAAACATGTAATGGAAATGTACAGTGTGTGGTAAAACTTCAGTCAGCTGAACTACAGAGCAATGCTTTGCGCTAAACGCTACAGTCAGCATCCTCTCAGCGATAACGCTGACATGCTGACTCTTATAACTCTGGTGATCATCCTGAGCAGAACATAAATGTTTGCACCACTTTACATTACGGGACAGTGCACTCAGAAACACTTATGATGGCCCCAGACTTAAAGTTAGAGATCACTAAAGTCCTTAAAATACATCATCTGGAGACCATGAGTGTCCAAGAGACCCGTTTTAACTGTAGGGCTACCTCTTGAAAGTCCAAGATTTGAATCACTGGTCGGAGACCCCTTAGTTAAGTAATAGGTTTCAAGTTGAGCAGTCATTTTTTGTTTTCGTCAGTGTGCAACATGCTTCTGGGGATGTTTCGGTCCCCAAATTTAGATGCTCCTCTCTGATACAGGCGGCTGAGGACCCAAACCGAGGGTGAGTTTGATTGAGACGGAAGCTTTGCCCGGTCACGCTCTGAGATAATGTTATCTTCTGCCTTGTGCTTCAAAGTGGTGAATTTATAGTTCACAGCAACTTCATACGACACAGTCTTTAGCTTTTGTTTAATATCTAGTGTCGACAAATAATGTTGCAAGTTTCCGATCTGTTGTTAGCGTAGTTAGCACCTTGGAGGGCTAACTTTGGCTTGTTTACGTGCACTGTTACCCTGAATGTCCCGCTAAACCCTGATTACACTCTCAAACTCGATATGGAAAAAAGGACAATAGTAAAATATTGTACTGAACAGTCAAATCTGATTCATCTGACATAACTCCAATTTGGGTACAGCACTAATTTACTGTCATGTCACCAGAAAATATTTGACATTTTGCTTGAAAAATATGTGAAACGATGATCAGTTTTCCAATCAATTCACTTGAGATTGAGATTACAACACAATTTAAGTTTGGGTCATTTTAGGCCATTATGGAAAGTGTATGAGGTCGATGAAGAGTTCCTGCAAATGGTTCTATCACAGTGGTGTCAAACATACGGCCCCTGGACCAGAACTAACCCGCCAAAGTGTCCAAAATCGGCCCAGTAGATGACTAGAAGAAGAGGTGCCAGGTTTCAGGTGAAAGTTAAACCATGTGTTGCCTACTTCATGTAAAATTCTGCTTCAGAGGCTTTCCAATCCCGACCAGGATACAGTTCTCTGATATAAAGATGAATAGTTACGGTGACCATGTTTAAAGATACTGAACATTGTGCATACTATTGTCATTTAGCAGCTTCAGTTCAAAAGAATCTGTATCAGGAAATGTGTGGATAAAAGCACAGGTAATGACAGTGAGAAGTAGACTGACTGAATGTGGAAAAACAGACATACTGTTAAAACTGCACCTATTTTTCTTAAGACATCTCAGGCTGTTAAACGATTTGTAAAAGGATGAACGTCTACAGCATGTAACTAATTCTTTACACAAAAAAAGGGAAGATATTGGAGCTGATGGTGCTTATGGGTTATTGTGCAATGGTTTTTTCGGTCTGGCCCATCTGAGATCAAACTGGGCCGTATGTGGCCCATGAACTAAAATGAGTTTGACACTCCTAATCTATCATGTTAGTGAGTGCACAGGTCTGAAAAGAGGGTCACTTTTGTTCTTCAGGACTAAAACATACACAGAGGTAAACATACTTGTTATAATTTAAGAAAATCTCACTCTCAGCTCCTTAAATTTAACAAACTTAGGTACGGACCATGCAACCACAACTTTAGCAGGACTTCCATGAGCTATTTCTCTGCCACTGCAGCTACACTTAGACATGATTTTACCGTTCGGCCTCAGGTAACAAAAGTGTGCATCTAACAACTACTGTACGCAGTGCCACTCTGTCCTCTGTGGACAGTCCAGTGCCGATCATCGCCCAGGGTTTCCCCTGGCCTTTAGAGAAGCTTTGAAGGTGAACGTGCCTTCAGCCTTGCAAGAAGACGGAGAGTAAAGAGCCACTTTCACATCACACAACAGTCCTGAGAGGCAAACATGGTGCTTTTCAACCCTTCAGGCTACTCAAATTAAAAGAACCACTTTCTAAGAACTCAATAATAATATACAGTATAGTCTGGTAATGCTGAGGCAGAAGATAATAATAATACTTGGCTAGATATTTATGAGCTAAATAGGCCGGGAAAACCCTTATCCCACTATAACTATGACAGCTCTCTTACAGGAAGTCCAACAGCTAAAATTTACACAAAGAAATACAACAGACATCAAAAAGAGGACGTCATAACAAATTCTTCTTCAGATAGAGGAGATAAATTGAACACACACTCCACTTCACAATTTGGGGCATTTTAGCTTAATTTCACCGAGGGGTGCTGTGTGAAAAATGCACTAATTAATTGCAGCCTTGTTGTCTCGTGCAATTAATGAAACAGAACTCTTACCTGCAAAGTCATGGTTTAAATTAAACTCCTCATTAAACACTTGAAAATCCAAATAAAAATAAGCGCACTCCAGTACCAACAGAGGAGCCCTCTTTCTTGATCCTTCTACTCTGCACACACACATGAAATTTACGACAGCACTGATGCAGTACATGGCAGGTAAGGCTGAGACGACCTGCCTGATATGCAAATTTTGTCGCCTGACCGGTGGAGTGGCCATCAGTTATTCAGCGACCAGGCAGCATCCGTGGAAAAACACGCCACTGGATGCAAACGACGGTGAGGGTACGGCTTTGTTCTAAACCCGGAGAAGGAGACCACATTGACAGCACATGCAAATCCAGAGTGGAAATACAAATACACCCAGATGAGAGGCAACAAAACAAGATGACGAAATACAGAGCTACAAGATCTGTCATTGTGAAGTATTTAGATGACCAGCCTCACTTTTCCCACATCTTATCAACTGAGACATGATTTAAAATTGCTTAACAACGCCAAAATTTTAGCAACCAAACTATCGGACGCCACATTCTTTATTCTTGTTACCACAGTAACGACTACTCTTCCTGTGGTCTACACATAAGCACATAAGCCAGAAACAATTCAATGTACTGATCCAATCACCAAGGCATTGCACATTACTGTTGAGCTGCTGTGGGGGCCACAAGAAGTGTTGCAAGACTGACAAAATGTACCCCAATCAGAGCCTAGAGGACACCCGACTGTCAGAAAAGTCACCTAACTTTTTAATTTTCCATTGAGAGGTTTGTAGAGGGGGGACTGATTTATTGGAATGCAGCCCACGTTTTTATAAATGGATACTGTCTAATTGGTACAAAAGGAAGTCCAAATTATCCCAACCTGTCCGAAACTACCTTCACCAGCCTGATTAAATAAAAAGTAGCCAAACTGGATGCAAAACAACTCAATCTGACAACACTCTGTGAGTCACTAATTGTTGATATGAGTGGAATATTCATTCATAGTCACCCACTTGTGGACAGTCATTCATACTGTGACTGAGCAGAACTCCTGATCGATGAGTAATGCAGAGGTTTATTTAATATCTTTGCAACCTGATGGATCATGCTGCTTTTTGTGGAAGTTTTAATATTGCTTTGCTTTCCCGCCTCGTCTCATGCTTCACCAGTACAACACTGTATTTGTCTGTAAGTTTCTTCACACAGACGAGAAGTGACAGTCTGCAAAGACTCTCTCCCTGTCGAAGAACATAAAGAACCTGGTTGGTCTTCATTTTCTTTTCTTTTTTTGGTGAGTAGAAACCTTTGGCTCTGACACTAGAGTCTACCGGCCTGAGTATCTAAATCATAGCTAAACTAATAGCTAGATAATGACCACTTTTAGTACGTCACAACGGTTTTCGGCCAACTTATCTGGTTTTCAAGCAACATACCATATCAACTTGATCACTATAAACGGCTGAGCATGGCCGCAGCAGGCTGTACATATATGATAAGGTGTCACATTAAGGCCTTTGCACAATGAGTCTATTTTTTTGGATGCATTTTTTTAAAGCCGTCATCTGAAAAAAAATTGTTACGCACAGAAACCTTGCACACTGATTACAATGTATTTATTGTTCTATTTGTTGTGAAAATTCTTGATAGTACATGACAAAATGAAAAGACACACTTCCTCCTTTGCCTCTCTCCACTGGAGTTACCCATCTGGCTGTCACCACTCCCTCCCTGTCTTTCATTAGGCTCAGCAGCTGCATGAAGGGGTGGAGCTGTCCTCCATATTCTATGTGCGGTCCACATCCTCCTCCTCTTCTTCATCATTCACCTGAATATTACTATCTGACCTGTAAGTGAGCTATCTGAGTCATGAAATGATTCTGCGAGTCCTCGGTCTTGTCGCGACTGTGTCCCGCTGGCACATTTCTGTCACTGATTCATGGTCAAACATCTCTAAAGGCTTCTGACGGATGCAAAAAACACATGAAGTCGTATTTATTTTTAGACATGCGACAATTTTGGACGAAAAAAAAAAAGGACTCATGAATAAACTGTCAGTTCTTTCAGTTTTCATGATCATACTACTTTGAAATCTTATCAAAGTCCAGGCTTTTTATGGCACTTTCAAATTCATCCGGTGATCTTCCTCAGCAAAAGTTGTCGTGGTGACATTATAAAGTTGACATACAGACAATTATCTCCATGACAACTAACCAAACTTTATCCACTAAAAAAGACTGAGTGATGCGGTTGAAAGCTCTCAGAAGTTAGTTATTGAGTTATTGAGTTAAGTTGAGCTAATTTTTGTTTTTCAAGGTCAATAACAAACTTTCATACTTTAACAAATATACTGAAGAGGCAATTTTTCCCATTTTTTGCAAGCAATAAAATTATATTAACCCGAAAAATTACAACAGTGGGTGGGATTCGGTATCCACTGCCCTTCTTTCTTTCTTTCTCTATTTTTCTGTTTATCTTGTTTTTGGGACGTGACTGAGTGGAAAAGAAAAGAATAAAAATAATAATATAATCCATTTTTAACAGTTAATGTGAATGACCAGTTTATTCATGATCTATAAATTAGCTTATAGCTCACTCTGGTAAAGCTAAGAAGCTCTGCAATCTGAACCACATTTACTCATGCTTTCTTTTTTGTTACACACATTTTTAGGATCAAAAGCTCTCAACTTTAAATACGTGTGACACCAGTGAGAGGCAGAGTTGTAAAAATAGTCACCTTTTGATGCAAGGGCAATTTGAGGGGCCCGATTATCACCTACAGGATCTGATAAATTGGGTTATGTGAGGGGCCTAAAAGCTAACAGGAATGTCGTTTGTTCTGCAGAAACCTTGATCCAAAACTGGTCACACTGAAATTAGGATATTAATTTTTTACTTTGATGGTTTATCTGCATGTTGGAGACATTTTATAAGCAAAGACTGACTCTCATTCAAACTTTTTTCTTTATCTTGATCTGAAAGATTTAATATTTCAGTGGCTGATTATTATTTCCCTCTCAAATGACTCTCAAAAGAAACTTGGAGACACTATTCCGTTTCTATTAATAACAATAAAGCATCCCAATCATACCAGACAAAGGTCAAACTTACCATGAATTAGTGAGTTCCTAAAAACAGGTCAGACAGAGCAGTCATGGCGTGAGGTAATAGGTTGCTGGATGATAGCAGGCTGGTTGACGGAGTGACTGACTGGTGGACTGTCTGGGCGTCTGTTTGACTAATGGAGCAGCTGTTTGGCTTGCAGGAGAGGAGCTTCTTTTCACCACAGGGAAGGGACGTTACTGGTCTCACCATCCCTGACCGACGGGCACAGAAAGGGACACGAGAGCTGAGGTGAAATGTGACTACTTCCTCTCCTTATTTCACTCACTCCTCTTTTTGTTTCACTCGCCGTCGCCTCCTAGGCTTCCTTGGGTCTCAGTGAAAGGGTCATTTATGGACTTGAGAGTGCAGGGAGCGGTGACAGTACAGCATCTGGAGGAACACACGGGACAAAACAGTCAAAATCACAACAGAATCATTTCATCCAGTGAGTGAAATAAAGGTGCAGTAACTTATCTTTGGTGACACTGGTGTGGAAAAACTGGGTTTTCAATGCACTGCATAGTGTATCACTGCACACATATAATTAAATGTCGGCTCTGTCAGCTGACACTCATTTGTTGACATCAGCACTTTTGATGAGAATCCCTTAAATTTGTTCAGAGAACAGACTCGTGACTGAAATGTACTTAGGAGCTTAAAAATAAACTTGTCAGTGTTCTCTGGTGGGCAATTATGTATTGGCCACACTGCTGATTACTCAAGCAGTGGATCAACAAAAAAATGTCTCTTTGGCAATTGAGGTCAGCTGTTCATAATAAGTTATGTCTCCATTGTTTCCTGCTTGTCAAAATGTGAGTATTTAGTGCTCTTCTGTTTTACGTAATTGAAAACTGAACATCTTTGTGTTTTGGTAAGTTATTATTTGCATCATAGACATTTCTATGTGCTCTGGAGAACCAAAAAATTGTTATTTTTCCTACTTTCTGACATTTTATAAACTAAATGTATCAGGGCTCAACACTAACTTTTAAAAATGGTTGCCAAGTTGGCCACCAGGCATCAGCTTTTGATTCTGACACTGAAAATATGGTTGCCATTTGCAGTTATATGTGTGTTTAATGATGAAAATGTCACATAAAAATGTTTAAAAGTTTTATTTAAGTTACTAAACAAATTTCTTTGAAGGTGTATTTCATCTAATTATTCATGAAACCTTATCTATTCATTTAGGTCTTTGAATCAATGTGCACGTTTGTTTGTGATGTTGACGGGTTAGTCAAACTTCACAACCCACAGTCAAACAACTTCATTTGCTTCGCCATTGTCTCTAAACCAGAAGCCTGTGCGCACGTGAGTAAACACACCTGCAGTGTTGTGTGGCTCAGGTTCTGAGAGCAATATTCAAACAACAATAATGCAACACATGTTAAAAACGCTGTTATCTAATTTTTATTATATTTTCAATATGGAAACAGTTGTTGCAGCCCTAAACTGTTTCTAAACTACCTCAAACATATCTATGGCACTAACATACTGCCATTTCTTGTTACTTATGGCCCAAAATACGCTTGATACCAATACATCTCCATGAAAAGCTAAGGGATGTGGTCAAAACAAGACAAAGCTAGAAGGGCACTCGGACAGCGCAAACCTCCGCCAAGACCAAATGCCCTATCTTGCAATGCTAACGCAGGTGAAAAGCAATTTGTGTATCTCTCCAGTGATTGGAATCTACTCCTGAATTTAATGGGTTCTTCCATGGCCCACGCTACACCCTTGAACCAAGTTTCGTGAAAATCAAGCTAGCTGTTTTTCCGTAATCCTGCTGCTAAACAAACCAAACCAAAAACATGACCTGTTGGTGGGGATAGTAACCCAAATCTGGAAATGATCAACGATGCCATCATCGTTTTGTTTAAACACTCATAATGAAAAGGACCAAGCCCCTCATCCGTGCCACAACCCAACACTCCATCACAGTCAGATGCCATTTGCTGGATTTGGTCCCTGACAGGATCCGACTGAGAGCCTGAAGGCGACAGAGCCTCCTGCATCATGCTGCATGTTTTCATACAGGAATCACTGTTTAAACAACTCACTTCCTTATTAAAGTAGTTAAGAAATGCTCACGTGTCGACCTCAACACTGGAGACTCTTTATGTTGGGAACTATCACCAGTCCGCTGCAACAACAGAAGAGACAACAGACCATCTCTACATTAGTCATTACACAACTGTGTGACATTTAAAATGATCTGCTATACAAAGTACATTAAACATTGTTAGTAATAGTAGTTTTGCCTGAACACAGCTCATTGTCACTTTGTAGCATGAATCAAAACTGAGGATTCACATGAAGCCACCATCCGTCCCATATGACACAGCATGCCGTCTCAACACTGTTCCACTTTAACACCATTCCCTCAGCGAGAGAAAAGCATCAATAAGTTTGAAAACAAAAGTTTCCCTTGTTTAATAAAAGTCTATGAAGAATGATTTTGCATAGCTGAGTGCAAAGATAAGGCTTTTGTGTCAGACTTGTGAGAGTTTCAACCGCCTGTTCCCGGGAGGAAGATGGCCACAGAGTCACTACAGTAACATGCTTCCTTAATAAAAGACGATAATATATAGTCATAAATAGTCTAATTAGTCTATTAAGTGATTAGTAAATTGGAAGAAAAATGATCAGAAACTATTTGGACTATCAATTAATCATTGAGGTAATTTCTCAAGCAAAAATGCCAAAAAATCCATTCTTATAGCTTCACAATTGTGCATAGCTGCTGCTATTCTCTGCTTTGTATTGTGTAAACTGAAATATTTGAGTTCTGGAACGCTGGTCACACAAGACATGACATTCTTAGACGTCACTTTTTCACTATTGACCGATGTCCCAACTGGTCTAGCCATGAGTTCCATATCTCGCCTTAGTCATTAGTTCACGCTCCACACAGTTTCATATATTCAGTGTCACACTTGCATTTGAACATGTCGTCACGCTAGGTTGTGGTCTCGTAGTCACGTAGCTGTCCATTAGTCGCTCACGCTACAGTAGAACGCAGCTCGGGCTGCATTTTCCTGACCGAACCCGACCCGAGTCCGAGACAGTTGTAACCTAGCCCAGCCAGACCCCGACAGACTTCCTTAATTTTAAGTCCGAACCCGACCCGAGCCCGACACAGTTTGTTACCAGACATAGTTATTGTTGTCATGGTTACAGCTTGTCTGTTTACAGTGATCACACATGGACGGTGTGTAAATGACCATCAGAAGGCTGCTGTTACACACAGCCAATTGAAGCGAAGCCAGTGTTGCGTTCAGGCGTTACGTAAGGCGTCACGTAAATAAAAAATTCCAGCATTTGGAGCATTCTGAGCAAAATTTCTGATTTGATATACAAACCTGGCTCGACCGGTCGTGTTGGGCTCGGGTCGGGTATCCACACTCTGCTCTACAGCAGGAAACGGCACTTGGAAATAAAAGCTCTGTGACAAAAATTCACTGCACTTCAAAATAAAGTGTGCTTTTCACAAACCTGACACGTGCGTAAGTCACTTGCAGTCCATTTAGAGAGGAGCCACGATCCACTTTTGGACCGCAACCCACCAGTTGGGAACCACTGGCTAAACCATAGATCAAAGAATCTTAGACAATAATCAGCTGATCAACTGATAATGAAAGTTATTTGCAGCCTTAGACTGAACCAGAAACAGTTAGTCTCTGACTAATAACAGATTAAATCATGCTATTAATGATTATAACAAATGAAAATGCAGCTGCGAGTCCACATCACATCACAACTATCTCAACTCTGCCTCTGTAAAGACACACCGCGGAATCTCAGTGTTTGTAGTAAGCATCTTCAGGTAAAATATCTCCACCCTGAAAGCACACACAAGACAGCTGGTGTTGTGTGAAACCTCTCTGGCTGCAGAGTAAAAGCTGAATGAGATGAATCAGGAAGTCTCTCAGGATGTAGTGTCAACACAACCTGAGCTCCTCTGACTCATGAGGTCAAAACGACAGCAGCACTGGCACTATAAGGAACAACTTTATTATCATATCAACACGTTTGTGGCCTTTATCAGGGTCACCCTCCTCTGACTCAACACACCCATGGGACTCTGCAGTGTGGGTGCTCCCTCAGCTGTGCACGACATGAGTGCATGGCAGCAGAGGGAGGAAATCAAGTCAAAGCTGCGCTAAAATGAACTTTAAAGTGAAGCAGAAAGTTTATGGTGGATGCATGGAGTGAGCTGTCGCATCAGTGGATCTGTTGCATCTGCCTGCAGGCCCGTCCATATCTTCAGATAAGAAGTAGGCAGGCTCATCGGACCCTGCTCTCTGCCTCTGTGCACTAGCTCTGCTGGCTAGCTGCTGGGCTGGGTGTTTTGCATGGTTTCTCCTGCAGCTGTCCGACCCATCTGAGCCCAGCCGCTGCAGGTCCGAGCAGCCGGCGGAGAGAGGAGCTCCCCTCCCGGCTGACACCGCGGAGGGATAACGCGATCACGCAGAGGGCTGCACGGCTCTGACTGTCGCACCGAAAAAAATGTCCACAAATCAAACACCACCCACTTTCTCCTTGCTAGCGTTAGCCGACAGCCTGAGATCCGCTATCTCTCGCAGCGAGAGGAGGAGGTGGCAGCTGAGCAGCAGCAGCTAGCGCCGTGCTAACGTCAGCTAGCCTGCCCGTGTGAAGCATTAGCGGAGAATAACCAGCATCTTACCCCTTTGTGTTGGGCTGTCAGTGTCCTAGGATGATGGGTGTGAAAGCGCGATGTCCCGATGCTTATTTAGCGACATCGTAAATGGGAATCCTGCGGTGTAATGTCCATCGCTGCTGTTTTTCTGCCATCCGCCCCACTTCAGCACCGAACGCCGCCGAGCCCCTGGATGCACTGCGCAGGCGCGCTGCCACCGCTGCTCTGTGGCTGCAGTCGGTGAGAAGATGCACTGCTGAGGCTCCACACACAGTCTGTGCTGCACACACATACCACATCCCTGCTGCACGACACCTCCAGAGCACAAGATAGTCATTTAAAAACGCTGCCGCGCTCAGTTTATTAAATATCAGACATTTTCAAGACGCATATCCATAAAAGACCTCAAAATACAGCCTGTCTGACACAAAAGAAAACTACTGTAAGTTTATAATAAAGTTCAGAAGGCCACTATTCATATAAAAGGAAATGTATCCCCAGGTTATAAGCCAGTAAAAATAAAAAAGCCTCTATAAACTCACAAACACAACCTCCTGGAGTGTTACATAAAAGCAATTTCTGCAGGAAATAGTGACTCCATTGATGTCACACACTTCTATTTTTTTGTTACAGCATTTTAGCTATAGTGTCACTTTTGTCTAATTTCTAATTTAATTTGAAACGGCACTCCTTATATCCTCCTTAAATCACATAATATCGTGTGTAATATATATAGCCCTCTGTTGCCATTAGCTACATTTATAATGTCCACATCATATTTTTAATATATATTATTTGGTATTTTACAACATCTACGCAGCGTAATGGTTCTCCAGTGCATTATATAGACATGTGGTTATTTTGTGGTGGTTATCGGTGAGTCATACTGTTATGTTCATGTGTTCAGAATGAATACCAACCTGGTATTAAAAGAAAAAAGCCATGGACATGGAATGGAACATGGAAATATATCATAACTGTACATCATAGGTGACTTCAAATGAAATCTGCTCAGTAGAGACAGTAGAAATAACCTGCACAGGGCTGTGGATCACCATGACAAGTACTCAATTTGAGACTGTGCATGTGTTTATGTTACAGATTCTGCAGAGACAGATCACAAACATGTCCGTTATAATTCAAAATTGGCAGTAACTTTGTCTGAAGTCAAGCAGCAAGGCATGTAAATGGGTGTTTTACGCTAGAAGTGAGACAGCTAAAGGTATATTTGAAAGCAATACCTATTCCTGACATGCAAGGATCAATAATTTTAGTTATGAGCCATTGATGCATTCATTCATTCATTTATATCTGCTATGTATTGTCAGAGATCTGTACAGTCCTACACAAAGTGAACCAGAGCATCTTTCCCTGACCTTATTCTGTAGCTTACATCGTCACGTGTCATCCACTCAGCTGAAGTCACATTTTAAAGAATGAATCATTTCTGCTGTGAACATCTGAATTACTGTCTCTCAGGTTTTTGTATCTGGATGTGTCACTCAGCCAAAGTGCATCTGCAGCGTGAGAGTCTCCTCCAGTGAGCCTCAGTAGTGATGACTAAACTATATTTTCCTACCGTTAACACAGGGGGGCACCAAAACTCTGCTCTCTCTCTCTCTCTCTCTCTCTCTCTCTCTCTCTCTCTGTGTCCCCCTCACACACACACACAAACACACACACACACCTGCTCTGATATAGCGGTGACAAATCAGTAAATCTACTCGTTCACGCTGCGTGGAAAGAAAATGACAGGAACATTATCACCGCTACAGTGACAATTAGAGGATTTTATCTGGCAGATACCACATTTTCTTTCAGGGGTGCGTAAAGACAATCATCTCAGTGCTTCTCAAATCTTCTCAGAAGGCAAAGCTGTTTATAAAAACGAGACTGAAGGGAGCTCTGGAAATGTACAGGAATGGATGCATTTAATGTATTTATTTAGGTGGGGAGGGGGGGGGTGAAAAAGGTCACGAGAGGGAAACCATGATGGGACATGTGCATGTTCCTTGACACCACTGGCTTATTAATAGGGCTCTGAAGTGACTCAGATCAACTCCTGTTTTCTTCACAAGCTGTTGTGCTGATTTGCATGTGAAAAGGTCAAAAGCTCTACTCTGTTCCATCATGGCTCCCGAACATGCAGCAGTGACTGCTCTGGCAGAGAGCAACGCATGTAATGAACAAGACAACTGTGTGTGTGTGTGTGTGTGTGTGTGTGTGTGTGTGTGTGTGTAAGGGATGAACACTGAAGTCCAACAAACTGAATCCAAATACTCTGCATGTGCAAGGGATTGTGATCAAACAAAAGAAACGAGTGAGCAGCACCAGTGTGTTTGCAGAGGAATCAGTGTACATGTGGGCGTTTGGTTCAGAGACAGAAAAGAGGGAATGAAATTAAGGGAGCCAGACAGCTTTCGATCCAAAAGTTGTTGAGACAATTCAGTCTGGACCGAAGCGCTGGATAAACCGACAGACTGACATTCCCTGGAGCTACACTGCTGCATGTCCCCTCAATCACACCTTAACCTGCAGACCATAATACCATCTCTGCTCCATGACTGTGTCTGTGGAGATGTCTCTTACCCTGTGGTCATTGTGTTTGTGTGATTTATCGAACCGGGCTCAGACAGCCCTCTGGGGCTTTTTCTGGTGGTAATTCGTTTGACTGCTGATTGTATATATACAACCCTATGTCCAAAAAAAGTTGGGACACTGTGTAAAACATAAGTAAAAAGAGAATGTAATGATTCACAAATCCTTTTCAACACACAGAGGAGGGAAATTATTATTAAACACATCAACTTTCTTTCATTAAACATATTACCAGTGCAGATATTCACATGAAATTAAAAACCAGACATTGGTATTAACTCAATAAAACTATGCTGATAATGAAACTGGAACATTTTAATCTCTAAAAATTATGTTCAGTAAAGTGGAATAATACTTGGAGATGCCTTTGTTTGCAGTGCCAGCTTCAAGACGCTTCCTGTCTGAAGAAACTAATCTCTCACAGAAGAAATTTTTGGCTGATTCTTCCACACAGACAATCTTTAAATATTGACGGTTTTCAGAGGCCCGCTTGTGAATAATAAAAAAGGAAATTTCACTTTCAAAACTTCAACAATTAGAGTCCTCAGTTTCTAAATGCTTACTGATTGTTGTTAAAAGAAACATTTATAATGCCCGTGTTGCAACTTTTTTGGCATCAAATTAAGAATGAAAGTATATTTACAGAAAGAAAAAGTTCATCAGTTTGAACATTGAATAGCTTTGTACTGATATTCAATCAGGAGAGACAGAGGAATGAAGTAAAGATGATATTTGATACAGAATATGAACGTACAGATTAACAGATGATTTGTGCTGATTAAGATTTAACAGAGGTCTTTGGTGCTTGGACACCAGAGGGAAATATTTTGTGATTGAGGGACATCTGAGTGACAGCAGGATAAATCCCCCCATGGAGTCAAGACACTGGTGCTGGTGGCTGATGACTGCTAAGGCCGATGAGGCTGATGAATCCATCAAGACTAGTGCTGAGTCTCAAATCGCGTACTTCTGTACTTACACTTAATATTTTGAGCGCGTAAGTGCGTTCACACTGAGAAGTATGGAAAAATGCAGTGCACTATGAGTACCTGGATGGTGCACTCAAAACGGTCAAGATGTGAGTGTGGAACTATGGACACTTCTCGCCCTCAATGGTCGCCATCTTGGCTACGTAGCAGAACGGGAGGGAGCACTTTTCAAACTGGAAATAGAGGCCGAGGACTGTGCGGCCGTGAACTTTGCTGCATTGTACAAATACATGTGTTTTTTTGCACTAAGCACCACTATACTGTTGTCGGGTATAAGCCAGCAGTATGTTTATTGGGTTAATTTAGCAGTCTGTAATGATTTGGTAGCACGAATGATAATGTGAATGCTAATGCTAGTTTGCTAATTTGCGGTCGTCATTTCCGGTGAGTGCACAACGGCGGTGTTTGGTTTGAGACAACACTACTCCATAGTATACTACACAGAAGTATACTAACAGAAGTATGTGATTTGAGACACACCTTAGGTGGTGATGGGGAGGTGGAGGGTGCACATGATGGCAGCAAGAGAAAACTGTGGCAGAGAAAGAACCATAGCATACCATAACAAGGGATCTGGTTTTGTGTCTCTGCTCTTTGCAGACGATGTGGCTCTATTGGCTTGGAATGCCCAGACTTGTACATTGGTGAAACAAAACAACCACTAAACAAACGCATGGCCCAACATAGAAGGGCTAACTCGTCAGGGCAAGACTCAGCTGTCTATCTACATCTCAAGGAGAAAGTACACTCCTTCGAAGACAGCAATGTACACATTTTGGACAGAGAAGACCGATGGTTTGAAAGAGGTGTAAAAGAAGCCATCTATGTGAAATTGGAAAAGCCATCTCTCAATAGAGGAGGAGGTCTGCGACACCACCTATCCCCCACCTATAATGCTGTCCTTTCATCCTTGCCCAGGAGGCTTAACAACTTAACCTCTAAAAACAACGGTCGTTCACAAATGGCCTCATGTAACTCTAACGACTCCAGTGACAACCGTTGCAGCAGGAGTTTCAATGACTGTTGTTGACAGACCATTGGAGCACTAACAAACCAGTGACATCATTGGCCTTGTGAAGACCTCCCCAGAGGTTAAATACCTGGGTGCTTCCACACCAGTTTGTCAGACTAGTTCCAGCCTAGTCAGACAAGCATGAACTGATGAAGCCTCTTGGATAAGAGGTGAAACGTTTTCTAAGACAAAACCCAGTCCAGTTGTGTTCGTTTCAGTTGCCTTGAGACAGACACACATAATGCTTTGTTAAGACTTTGTGTCCATTTCATGTGTTTCTATGAGACCAGGAGATTCAGAGAGGGAGTTCAAGTAAGGTGGTGGGACAGACAGATATGGTTGTAGCCTGCAGTCACATTCATCTTCTATCTGCCTGGTTGTCTGAAAGTCTCACAGAGAAATCATGAGGACTAACTGCACATTTACAAGAGCACAGCAGGTCAGGCAAATCAATAGCTCGCAAGAACAGCAAGTGCCTGAATTACCTCTATGTGTGAGCACCCAGGCAGCTCTGGGAGAAATTGAGTCAGAGTACATAAATATAATCAAAGGGGAGCTGAGTTCAATCTAGAGAGTTTGGGTGTACTA